GGGCTGTGGTGGGAAATGCCCGGTGAGACAAATTAAAATCTAAAATTCGAACGTTTGCGGCCGATTTGAGCCGTCGACTCAATCGAGATAGATTAGCGGTGCAAACGGCTTTAGAGCAGAAAGTTGATCGGGCAGTTAAATCCCGTGATAGTGGGGAAGTAGCCTTAGCTAGGGCAGAGTTGGCCTCCTTGCTTATCAAGAAGGATCAAGCTCTGGTAGTTAGGGCTAGGTTAAAAAGAATGTCCCTTGAGGCGACGAATATGGCCGCAGAATTGCGTGCAGAGGAAAGTAGGAATGCATCACGGCGGCATATCGCGTGCGTCACATTGCCGGATAAGCGGACCGTGACTACAAACTCGGGCATATGTGAGGCTTTTCGGGATTATTTTCAGGATCTTTTTACCAGGGAGTCCGGTGTGAGCCCTGCTCAGTTCGACGCCTATTTAGCCGACTTTCTCTGCCTTGGGGCAGCTGAAGCGGCTGGGTGCGAGGGTCCCATCACAGAGTCGGAAATCTGGGAAGCGTTGAACCAGGTTGGCCTGGATAAATCTCCGGGATTAAATGGTCTTACCTACGAATTCTACTTGAGGCAGTCACCCATTTTTGTTCCTTTGCTGGAACTGATTTCCAACAACTGGATGAAGCAGGGGTCTATACCTCAACGCTTCAGGGGTGTGATCAAGTTGCTGCGTAAGGAGAAAAACGGTGGGGATGGGATAGGTAATTTCCGCCCTTTTACTATGTTGAATACAGAGTTAAAGATTTTGGCAAAGATCTTAGCCAACCGTTTGCAACTTGTTCTGTCTCGTCTGATTGGCTCCGAACAGATTTGTGTTGTGAAGGGCCGGACTATTCAGGACAACTTTTATATGGTCCGCTCGATCATAGAGAAAGTTGACAGTGAAGCCGCGCTGATCAATTTGGATCAGTCCAAGGTCTTTGATAGGGTTGACCATCGATTCCTAGAGGCCGTTCTTTCGGCTGCTAGTTTCGGGCCGGACTTTAGCTCCTGGATCCGTCTTCTGTATGCAACTCCCGGTGCGCTGGTGGAAGTGAACGGGGTAAGATCGGAACGTTTCCTATTGTCTCGATCTATTCGTCAGGGTTGTTCGCTTTCGCCTCTGCTTTACGTTCTTGCGTTGGAACCTTTCCTTCGCAAGCTAAAGGCGAATCTGGTCCTGCGCAGAATTTCCCTACCTGGTGCTACCACCTCGACCAGATATTCTGCCTATGCTGACGACGTTTCGGTTCTTGTGTCGAGCAGAGCCGAGATTAACGAAATCAGCAAAGAAATCAGTGGTTATGAGATGGTGACAGGGGCCAAGATCAACCGCGGTTGGGGTGCGTGGAAGGGAATTTCTCTTCCCGGACTTTTCCACTGGACGGATGGGCCGGTCAAGATACTCAGCGTCTGGTTCGGTCCAGATATCTAGTTGGGAATGAATTGGTCGGAGGTACAAGGGAAGGCCGAGATCGCAATTAATTTGTGGTCTCGGAGGAATCTTTCCTTAAAGAGGAGGGTGGAGGTATGTGTTTCACATATCTACCCGATTCTCCTTTACCGACTCTCAGTACTTCCACTTCCGTATGCCACACTATTTTTATTAGTTAGGCTTTTGTCCTCTTTCTTGTGGAGAGGAAAAGCCGCTAGGGTATCTCGGGAGATCTGTTGCCTTCATCAATCTGAAGGTGGACTAGGTATGCCTATCATTGAGATTCGTCTTGATATACTTCGCATCTGGTTCCTAGATCGTTTGTGTCGCGAACCGGATGAGGAGGGCGCCTTCTGGAAGGAAGACGCCGTAGAAATTTCCCATCCTTGAGAAGTGTGCACCCGTGCGAGGAGGATGTCCACCGTTCAACCCGAGCCGAATACTCCTTCTACCGTGAATGTCGTCTTGTTCTGAAACACCTCTTACGGGCGTCGGATGGCATCTCCAACGTCCAAGTGTTAGTCAGGGGGTCCGTTCATGATGATCTGATTGACGAGTTCGGTCTTACGAAGCAGAAGGCTCGCTCGATTTGGCCTTGGGCGCCCGGGTTGAAATGTCTCAATAATGATGAGGCATCCCTCACCTGGCTGGTGATGCGTGGGGCCCTCTGGGTCGCCAAGAGACTTTGTTAAGCAGGCTTGGAGAAATATCCAAACTGCTGTCGCTGTACTGGAGAAGTCGAGACCATTGGTCACGCCTTCTTTCATTGAAAGGCGGCAGTGCCTTTGTAAAAGTTTGTTGGAGGCCTCATGGTTCGCATGCTGCAGGGAAAGTTCTTTGTCCTTGAGACCAGTTCTGTTTGTAGCAATGTGGCGTGCCGTTGACGAAGGCTGAACTTTATGTGCTCCACTGCTTGCTAGGTGTTATGAGAGTCGTGATTTGGTCGAGACGTCAGAAGGGATTCTATGGAGGTGAGAAGTTCACCTCTTCCCAACGGATCTTGTATTTTAGGCATCAGCTTAAAATCAAGATTAGGACGGAAAGGCGGCGACTCACTTCATCAGAATTCGGCAAAAGGTGGGTAAATCTTGCGCGACTGTGTAGAGTGAAAGGGGCTGACCTGGAGTGGCATTTTGATGGCGGTTAGGTACAGGATGTTGTCCTTCCTGGGTTGAACAGAGGCAACCCGTCCCGATATTAGTCTAGTTTAGGTTTAGTTTGAATCTTTAGTTTCCTATTTCCGGTTAACTTAGCTAGGGTATGTATGCTCATTGGCCCCTTTTTTCTGTCCCTATTTTTCTTTTGTTTAATTCCCCCTCCCCCTCCCTTTTTTAGGTGGTCAGTGATGTCAGTTCTATGGTAGTTGCGGGATGCCTTTCGTTTCGCGTGTGTGTTTTCGTATTTGTTGTTGTGTCTAAATGAGTGCGCGTTTCTGTGAGTGCTTTTTGGATGTATGATTATTTTTGTACTATTATAATCCTGCATTTTGTTTCGTCGAGTTAACTGATGTGTCTGCCGCATTTAGGGATTGTGTTTTTTTTTCTTATTATTAACCTTATTTTGTTTTGCTTTCAAGTAAGTAGTATTTAATTCATATTGTAAATAATCATTGTTTTTTTTTTTTAAATTGTTGTTTTTATTCCCCTCCCCACACAGACTTTGAAATGTACATATGGGGACTAGTTAAGATTTCATAGAGACATTCAGGAATTATGGTGGATGTAGTAAGAAAGGTAGGAGAGAATGTGTTGTTTTGGTGATAGGATTATTGTTGGTATGTTTGGGTCAGTGTTTGTGACTAGCTAAGTTTAGAATTAAGACAGAAGACCGTCCTTTCCTCCAACCCCACTTTTCGGCCGTGTGCCACATTTTGTACTATTGTACGAATAAATATTAATATCTTCACTGCTAACCTCTGATATCGAAGAACTAAAAAATTAACAGCTGCAACTTTCTTCGAATCTTCACTGCCAACCTCTGATATTGAACACATTACGTACTTCACTGGATTCTATATTCAAAACTACGGCAAACATGGTCAACACCGTTATCTTTCTAGGACGAACAGAACGTTTGGGGGGAAAAATTGAATAACACGTCTTCCAGTGACGAACTATCGTAACAGCTGAACTCAATGTCACATTAAACTGACTAGGTATCTTCCTATAACCAAGACCACCTTATGAAGGTCAACAATACGTTTACGGAGATCTTGATCAATTATTTTGCTTTTCTCCATTTTGTCACTGTTTAAAGAACAGTTTACAGAAAAAGAATAAGGCAACACTTTTAATCATTCCAAAAAGTAATCATAAAAATAATCTGGAACGTTCTAAAAAAAAAACAATATCCTAATTTGAAACATTCTAGTAAAATTTGAACTCTTTTGTAAAAAAAAAAAGCTGTTGTAAATAAAAACAAATGTATCTTAAACTTATAGTCACCAAATATCTGTTTTTCTTCGTGAGATAATTCTTTGAAGTTTTTTTTAAAAAACTGACTGTTTGACTAAATACCTAAACATATGTTCCACGAGCAGTAAAATTTTAATTACTTAACAAACATATTTGTAATGTGTTGTAAAATTTTACGTGGCCCTGTGTTTATCTTGTCTCAAATCTTAGTAGCAAACCATCTAATAGACAATATAACTTTACAAGAATTTCAATAAAAAAAAAACACGTAATCACATATTTTTATTCATGTAGAATTTTTTCCAGAGGAAATGCTGTGTAAATATTTTTTTTCGCGTAACGTGGAGAGAAAACCAAATTGTTATGCAAGGTCTAATGCATTTGTACAGTTGGTAAATGATAGAATCTTCGAGAAGTAAGTGTATACTTTAATTCCTATCAAACGTCAAGCGTTAGGCACTGGGAAATTAATGACGTATATTTCGAAAATATTAAGCCTTCAAAAACGTTTATTTCCCCAGATAGAATTTTGATTTATAAGCTACAGGCGAATCTTCGCATTAGATTCTGTCAAAAAGAATAACTTCAAACTCTCTTTTGCTTTCACACAGTCTTTGAGAACAATTACGCAAAGAAAACAATAACTGAACGTTTCTATGTCATATCAGTTTTCTTATCGAATCAATTCCAATGGCCTAAAATGATTCGTTGCTGAAATAAACGAAGGTTAAGCTCAGAAAGAAAGAAATACTGCTAAAGTTTGTTTGCTACATGCAATGAATATAATCCATTTATCTATAGTTTGTCTTATTTTGGTAAGTTTTCTCGAACTTTTTTCTTTCGTTCTTATAAAGCTGTTTTCTTTAAACATAGGTTCCCTTTTTGTTTGATTTTAATTTGCTATGAGGAAATAGCGCTGAGCAAACGAGCACATTTGCATAACTTCTCATAAAATTCTAACTCGCTGTCAATGACTTCCGCGATCAGAGCAGCATTGCTTTGTTCATTTTTTTTTATTTTCTTTTGATTTTGTATTTTTTTAAAAATAATTCTGTATACTGATATTTGTTTTGGATTTCATTAATCATTTAGTCGTTTTTTCTTTTTTATTTATTTACATTATCTCTGATCTGCTATCAGCTTCTCCTCTTAGATCTCCTTTCTTTTCCTTATATTTTTGTTATGTCTTTCTTCCGAAGTTTTTTTTTCCTTCTTTTCGTCTTTCCCTTTACTTTCTCCCTATCTATTTTCTCTGAAAATATCGTTCATTTTTTCATATTATATTACTATTTCTCATTCATTTTTCTTTTTTTAAACTTTCCATTATTTTTGTAATTCCTTCCATAAAAGAAAGCCTTTACATTTTATTTTTTCACTGCTATTTTCACTCCCTTTCATTATTCCTGCAAGTTATACACTTTTTAAAGATTCGATATTTCTCTTGTTTCGTTTCATTTCGTATTTCGATCTTTTATTTTTCTCGTTTCTACTGCGCATTCACTTTTCATTTATTTTATCTTTCCCATGAAGGGCTTATCTTTTCAATCAGTTTTTACGTTCTCTTTCTTCCTTTTTCTACAATTTTTCCTTTTCTCAGTTTCAGTTTATGCTTTTCTTTGGTCTTTAGCATCTTTCATTTTCCACTGCAATTCCATTATTTTTATCATCCAGGAGAACAAATTCTCTGCTATTGCCAATCGTTTTATTTGCTTCATTTCCTTCCACCATTTTGAATATTTTATCATTTTAACTTTTTCTTATTATTCTATTATATGCAATATCTGAATTTGTTTTTACTGTAGATATTTTCATCTTCTCATGTATTTCTTTCTTGTCTCTGATATGTATTATTTTAATATTAATTTATAGTGTTTAATATGTATCTTCAATAATTTAAAATACATGTATTCTGTTTTGTGCATCGACAGGAAAATTATGTGTGTATAATCGAAAGGAACACATATTGTTAGGAACAGCGGAAAAGGTAAAACACAAACAAGATCTGCTATGAAAAACCTTTAGTATTCTCAAATAAAAAATTACATGGTCTCCCTAAAGAGTTATATTCTTTTTAAGTGGGTAGATTATATAATATTTCAAAAGATTTATTTTGTTGTATTATTTAGAACTGGGATTACGAAGTTTGTTTTTTTCTTCTGCCAAATGTCGATTTGCAAGATTTGATTGGCAATTCGCTCTTAAGGTTCCCAGCTTTTCTTTCATGCAAAACCAATAAACTTTTGCTGCATTGTCGAATTTTGTCTTTGGAAACTTCATCCCAAATCATTATTAATAAATAGGAAACTTTCTACTTGAAAAGTTCATTAATAAAAATGACGCCATAACACCATTTTACTTGATATTTAACCACCATCTTTTAATTGCTGCTTTCTTTTTAACTGACAAACTGAAAAATAACAGTATTTACACAAATTAATGTCAATACGGAATTGAATACATATATGTTTTTAATCATTTCACCCCATGCAAGGCGGCAATGCCACTAGTACGCAGGGGCGGGTATAGGGAGTGATAGTGAGAGAAAAGACTGAGAATAGGGAGGATTGAGGAAAGGAGAAAAGATGAACGGGATTCAAGTCAAGAGAAGATGGCGAATGACGTTGCATTTAATGTTTTGAAGATTGTAGTTATCAGGGAAAGCAAGTAAATGGGTATTCCACAGGTGGGAAGTGCGAGAAAATAAACTGTTGGAGTAGAAGTGGCGGTTATATTTCACTATTTGAACATCAAACGGTTGGGATCTAGATGCCAATATACTAACACATTTAAATTCATGTCGTTGGGACACCAAGGAAAGAAAGCTCGTCAGAGCAGCTACCATAAAAATATTTGTAGAAGAGACAGAGAAGCCACGTCGTGTCGGTGAGAAAGTGTTTAACAAAGTTCATTTACATTCCACCTCCAAAATTAGTATGCGATTGGGACCAGTGAACTCATGTTGGTTGTTATGCTCATAACATTTCAGCCATTATTTCCTTTTGTCTTGGCGTGGAGGTCAAAATCTTAGAATTTCGAATTGAGAGTTTCCTTGAATGCATTATGGTAGACTTTTCTCATTCCATTATCATATTTAATACGCACGAGTCTTATTCACCATTGAGTCGCTATTCCCTTACACCCACTCAAGCAGAGTATGAGAGAATATCAGGCTCTAAAGAGTTTGTCTAATGGTAGTACTCACGCATGTGATTGGCTCATCATTTATGAGTTTGGCCCGAGGATATAGGCAGCCGAAGAATTATTCTTTGGCAATACAGGGGAAGTTCAAGTATTGTTCGCTGAATGTTGGCTTGCGATAGAGTCTAACCAAGATGGGCATTATCCGAATAAAAATGTATATGATGATGATAATTCTTCATCTCAAAATATCTTAAAAAATACATAGAAAACGTCAACAAAATAATCAAGTTTATTCATTAAAAATGGATTTTAAAACTTGGCATTTTTATTAACATGGCGCATTGTAACCTGTTAAGAATATAAAAATGGAGGTGAACATAGACAGAAACCAATGGTTGATAAAATATTTTTTATTAACCTGATTAATATTGTTTTTTATAAACCTCAGGTTTTCATCCTTGGTCCTAATTTGTTTTAATTTTCATCACTTATATTACCGATGGCATCAGCTCTGAACTTGGTATATCCGCTGAGGCCACAGCCATTTAACGACTGTCTTAATACTTAATCTGATCAGATCGATAAGATCAAATTGGCGGCTGATCTCCAAAATGATTTTCAGTCGGTTTTTAATTGGGGCAAAATAGGATTTGTCAATTTTCAAGCCCCCCCCACCTCCGAAATGAACGTCTTTCTAATAATCATCTGAGAAACTCGTCTCTGCTAACCTCCAAAGAAGTAAGTGTTTGCGCCTCCTAGGGCTAAAGTTTTTGTTTGACATGAAGTGGAATGACTTTATTGGATCCATTGTTAGCTCAGCTGCTAAGAAAATTGATTCATGCTGTCGTACGTGACAATTATCCAATGCAGGATGTATTATATCGAAAAATCTACCATTCGTCCATGCTAAGAATATTGCTGCCGCCATATATTCCGGTGTTCCTTGATAAACTCCAAAGACTCAGCAATATTATTGGTCCTGATGTGGCATCTCGGCTTTAATTACTTTCCCACTGTCGTAAGGTTGCCTCCCTTTGTCTTGTCTATAAATACTTTCATGGTAATTGTTTGAATTATCCCTTTGCTATTGTACTTGGATTTTTTGAATCTGGCTAGCTGTAACCGTAAATTTTATGCTAACAGTTCTTATCTCGCATTCCTCGCTTGTGGGACTATTTTTCGGCTCCATGATTTCCAGACAATTTTAATCTGCAAAAATGTAAATGCAATGTCAATCGCTATCTCCACTATCTTCCTTAATTTTCTTTTGTTTCTGCTACTTCGTAATGTTTGTTTCTAATTCTTCCACAGACATTAACTCCTTGTGTGTTTGTGGATTTACTGCTTTGCTTGGGGCAAAGTCGATTAAAACAAAAACAGAAAATTTTAATTAAAACTGAATTTGCTGAAATAATAATTTGCTGAAATAAATAATACTGGATTTTTAATGAAACTATAATACTTTTTTTTTTAATTTGAAATCTTTAATACGTGATTCTATTTTAATTTTTATAATTAATAATGGCTTATTTTATAAACTTATAATAAATTAAGAACCCTTAATTAATACTGATTTTTTTATTTTAATTTTTATAATTAATACCATATTTTCGATAATATAAATTTTTGTCTTTTTCTCTGCATAGTATTTTCATTTTTTTATATTTTCTATACCTATTATTTATAGAAAGCTTTAATTAATAAACCAATTTATTTTAATTTTTATAATAAATATCAGATTTTACATTGGTTGATGTATGATAACATTAACATTGTTGAATCTTAAATATATTGAAATACATATATGTATTCATCTGTCTATATTTTTGAGATGAGGTATTGTAACTATTTACACTACTTACACCGTTCAGACTGTTGTCCTAATTTATAATTGATTATTCATGACTTTTCGGCTGTTTTACCCTGCAACCTTCTTCAGGTGATATGTATTGGAATTTCGAACCGGTAGTAGATTTCAGTTTCAATTAACTCCCCTTAGTAACTCAAATCTCCACATTCTTGTTCCCTCTTCTTTGGCCAGGTATTGACCTCACAGAACTGGGTCAAGTCACTTTTGGATCACTCAAAAATGCTTTTATCCTCTGGGCTATATGTACCATGGACAAAACAAAGGGTTCAGTCTGGAATCCTAACGTATATTACTTCAAGACGGCCGTGTATATAAATGTAATCATTTGACTTTCTTCGAGACTCTCCTTGGAAATAACATTTTTAAGCTTAAAATTGAAAACTGTGCACTAAGGTTTCCTCTTAGGTCAAAGCCGGCATAGATATTTTCATTCCTTCTCTGGAATACCAGGCGAGACCTCAATCTTCGCCATAGTTCACAGCAGCATGCTCTGCGGCTATCGCCAATAGGAACTACTATTTTCAGTTATGCCAGCGTGACAGCTCGTGTGACAACAGATGTCTATTCATTCCTGCACGTAATAAATGTAAACAAGTCTACAAAGCAGCTAAGTTTCTGTTTGCTGGGGTAATGAGGCACCGTATCGCATGTAAAAACTTTGTCTCTCATGATTACTGGCGGCTCTGTAATATTGTATTAAATAAATGTAATTTCTCTTTTCCTCCTCTCATCAATCAATTTGAGGTGTTAACCTATTCTGCTGATAAAGCTGAATATTTCGCCCGCCAATTCTACTTAAATTTGATTTATCTGGAGTATCGCTGCCTAACTTGTGTTTGAGTAGTCATTAAGAAATGTGATCTCGAACTAAATCTCGTTCTCTTTAAAATAAATCTCGTTCTCTTTAAACCAAATCTCGTTCTCTGTAAACTAAATCTCGTTCTCTTTAAAATGTATAATAAATTGCTCGCTGCCTCTTGCTTCCTTGCCTGCAGGAAGTCCTCATCTGTTGTTCCGGATTTTAAGAACTCGGGTGAACAGTCTAACCTTTCCAGCCTATTATTCTTCTATCTCTTTTTGGAAAACTCCTAGGGGAACTAATCCATACAGAATTAGTTAAGCAACTTACAGCACAGGGTCTCTTTTCAGACAATCAATACGGTTCTCGTTTCTCCATGTCAACTGGTGATGTACTGACGACAATTGCTCTAGATAAAACCAGTTAAGCCCAGATTGTAACTTTCGACGGGGTTTGGCATCGAGATCTTCTCCACAAGCTGAAATATTACGGTGTCTCCAGACAAATTTTTGAACTGGTCCAGTTTTTTCCTATCAAATTGTGAAATGTAAGGCCATTTTTCTAGACCCTTTCGTACTAATGCAGTTGTCCCCCTCCAAGTCTATATCCTTAGTTCTACATTGTTTTTAATTTTCATTAACTACATTCCCAGTCAAATTGTCAAAAATACTTTCATTCTGTTGTTAACTGGGGCAAATGATGAGTTGTTAATTTTACCGCCTGCAAAACTAAATTTCTCTCTATTAATCCTCTGGGAGAATCAACATATGGCTCGGTGCTCATGCTATTTATCCAGAGTTCCTCAAAATCCAAACAGGAATCAGCAATATTATTGGTCCTGATCTGAAGTCTCTGTTTCAGTCACTTTCCCACAGCCATAAGGTAGCTCTCCATTGCTTTGTCTATGAATACTTTCATGATAATTGTTCGGGTGAGCATTCACTATGGTGCCTAGATTGTTTTTTAAATTTCAGCGCAGTACATAAACTATATTCTAGCAGTTGCTTTTCTCACACTTCTCGCTTTGGTAATTCTCTTCTGGTTTCATACTCTCCAACAAACTCTGATCCTCAAAAATGTAAGTGCAATGTCAATCGCTATCTATCTACTGTCCTCCTGATTACTCTTTCTTCTTTTCATGTTTCTCTTCCTAATTCTTCTACACCTGTAACCTTTTGTATTTTAGTAGATTTAGTGTCTTTGTTGAGGTAAAATCGATTATATATATATATATATGTGTGTGTGTGTTTGTATATATATATATATATATATATATATATATATATATATATATATATATTAGAATAATTAATCACAAAGTAGAAAACTATATATCGTTACGCGCTTCTTTCTTTAAAAAAACATTGGTTTAATATAATGTTTCCCTTGAGGTCACTACATGTCGAACGAAGGGGAGGAACGACTGAAATTTTCAAATTTTCAAATTAGTTTCCCTCCACTTCGTCTGCATGTGTAGTTACATCAACAGAAACATCATATTAGACCGATGAATTTCTAAGGGTAAAAATGTGTCACAAAATAAATTTTTGCATTTTGTCATCATATATATATATATATATATATATATATATATATATATATATATATATATATATATATATATCGGAAAGAGTTTATAGTTGTTCCAACGAGAAAAAGTGTATATATTGAAAAGAAGAGAAAACCGCAAAAGCTTTTTAGCTTTAATGTGGATTATTTTAAATACATATAATATGCTTTATTTCCCATAATTTTGTAACATGTGTTTCGGACCTCGCGTCATTCTTCAGGCAAAAAGGGGGTATTTCCACATATTATTAAAATGAATTAATTTCCCTATGTTTTCAATGTTAAACATTCTCGATCTTAAAAATATTAATTTTTTTGTGTGGTAGTGACACCAATGTCTTTCTTGAACTGGCAGTGTGAATGTCTTTCTACTTGAAGAGTAGTAAAACAATAAAGATTGGTCCAAGAAAGGTTGAGGAAAGATATCTCTATTCTTATATTTTAATGACCACTTGTGTTCTTAGATCTATTTCCATTTTTTGTATTGTTTTTTGTTAGTGTGCGTATGTATATCTATATTCCCTCTCCATACATACATACTGTCTTATTATAAGGAGTTAGTATACATATATACATACATACATATACATACATACATACATATATATATATATATATATATATATATATATATATATATATATATATATATATATATATATATATATGCATACACACACACACATCTATATATATATATGTATATACATACGCATTTTTCCACTTTCCTAACATTATTCAGTATATAAAATGTATATATCATTTCTTTCCGTCTCTCTCTTCCTCTCTCTCTCTCTCTCTCTATATATATATATATATATATATATATATATATATATATGTATGTATATATATATATATATATATATGTGTGTGTGTGTGTCTGAGTGTCTGTGCGTGTGTATGTATTTGCATCTGGCTGTCGAAATATAACCAAATATTAGCTCGTAGAGGAAGTAAGAATGGAAACGGTTCTTCTGCTTTGACAATGTTCATTCAACAAGCTATAATGTACATATAAATAAAATACTTGATATATAATGTAAATCTGATATATAATGTATTTTTATATATAAGTTTATTGCTTTGTGTGAGGATCTATTTTTGAACATTTATTTAATTTTGCGTCTATATTTTTTGCTACAGTTGTTTTTATCAATACTGTCACTTAATTATCTGTAAATATTGTGTTTTATTTTTGTCCTCCCTCTTTGCAAATTGAATTTTCTTCTTTCCTTTTAATTCTTTCTTTGCTTTACTTCATGTCTGACGTTTTTTTACAGATATTTTATTTTCTCTCTCATTTTAAAAAATAATTTGTTTGTCTGTAAATTCTTTTGGATTGATTCTTTTATTCTCTTTTCTGATCATTTAAAAGAAATACAATTCCTTTGTCGCCTTCTTTCTTTTAATGCTGCCTTAGTTAAATAGTTTTAATGGCTGACCTTTTTGGTTTCTATTTAATTTAAATGGTTTCATCCTTTTCTCCTTGTATTATATTATATTCTTCGATATTCCATCAACTGAAATTTCTTTTCCCTTTTTTTATCTTTTTCTTTCTTTTCTCTCTTACGTTTCCTTTCTTTTTAATTCAGTTCTTTCCTTTCATTAATCTATATATTCATCTTCTCTTTCCATAATTCGTTTTCCCAGTGATTTATTTTTATTTAAACTGTTGTCCTCATCTTTGTTGCCATATTCACGACATTTCGGCCGTTGTAATCAGGTGACTGTATTTCTACTAGAGAATATCAGGTGACTGGAATTTCGAACTGAGCTCTTTATTTTGTCAACTGAGATAGTTCCACGTACTATGCCTCTTCCAGAGTTCTTGGTTATCTGTTCACTTTGAACTTTGAGTCAAGTCACTAGAACCAACGCTTTTATACAGTGGGCCATGTGTCATGGGGGACATTAGTGTATGGAGTTTTGAAACGTATAAACTTAATGCCTCAGTACATTTTTTTTTTTTTACTAAAGCTCATATTGCAATTGTGTTGTTATTATTAATTTTTTCTCTAGCATTCCGTATTACTGGTTTCCATATTGTATTCATTTCTATGCTTGGAACGTAGAATTAGAACAGTCTACCCCGGTGGACAAAATAAAGGGTTCAGTTCGAAATTCCAATAACCTGAAGAAGGTCAGAGCTTACAACGGCCGAAACGTCGTGGATATAGCAATAAAGATGAGGACGGTAATACGAACAATGTAAATAATAAGAAATATAGACAGATATTCATTTCCTTTTGTTCGTAATTTTCCTTTCACTGAATTTTTTATTTATATAGTTTTCTTTCCGTGAGTTATTTTTCTTTCGATAGTTTTTCTTTCCTTCTGTGTTTTTCTTTTTCCTTCACTTAATAACTTATTCAGTTTTTCAATCCCGCAATAGTCTTTTTTCTTACAATTTCTTTTCTATTCCCCTCCTTTTTTATTGTTGGAATTATTTTTCCCCTCTTCCATTTTTATATTTTTCCATCCATTCTATTAATTTTTGATTTTTCTTTTGTTTTCTTATGTTTTCCTTTCAGTGTGTCTTTCTTTTTCTTATTTTTACATATTTATCTTTTCTTTCACTGAAATGACTTTCTTTTTCCTTCTTTTTCTTTCACTCAATGATGGTTCTCTATTTTCTTTTTCCTTTTTTTTTTTTTGCTAAATGATTTATTTTGTTTCTTTTTTCACTGAATTTTTTGTTTTTTTTTCCACTTAATTACTTTTTCCTTCTTTCGTTTCGTTTTACTAATTTACTTTTCTTTTTTTTCATTTACTGTATGACTCATTCTTTTTTTATTTGGCTTTCACTGAATTACATTTTTAGTTTTTCTCCCTTCGTTTTTCACTACATTGCTTATTTTTTTCTTTTTTCTTTCAATGATTTATTTATTCTTTTCCTCTTTTCCCCTGTTTTTCATTTATATTTCTTTCTTTTCGTTTTCTAGCTTCTCTGTATTTTCCTTTCTTGTCTTGTTCTTTCAGTGAATTAATTATTCTTTTTTTCCATATTTCTTCCATTCATTTTCATTCATTTTCTTTTTATCATTATCATATTTCCTTCTTTTCCTTCTCTTTTTTGTTCTCGTTATTTAATTATTTCTCCTCTATTCGTGAATTTACATTCTCCCTGATTTTTTACCTCTTTTATTTTGTCCAACACCGATCCACACACTTCCTTCGTTTTTTAGGTCTTTGGATTTTCTTTTTTTAATTCCTTCTACTGATTCCCCTTCATTCTTTCTCTCTTTCATTCACTAATTTTTCCTTTATATATTCTATGTGTTTTTATCCTCTTTCAACTTTTATCATTTTTCTTTTTTCTTTTCTTTCCCTTTTACCGCCAATCTCTTTCTTCTTCTTCTTCTTCTTCTTCTTCTTCTTCTTCTTTTCCATTTATTCTCCTTCTCTTTCTTCTATTGATCCACATTTATACAATCATTTTCCTCCTTATCATCTTTTCTTTCCTGAAATCGGTCAGTTCAAAATATATTTTATCTCGATTCAATTAAGATGATGTATTGCCTATAGGGATGTCAGTTGCGCAACAATTTCATTTGATTCTAGCCAGAAGATTTCAAAGATAGATATCAGAACTTCTGAGGTTTACTCAACAGAGCATTTATGTTCCAAATATGATAGAGTCGATTTTGTAATGTTATTTTAGATTTGTTTCTCTGCGAATGAAAGAGTTATAATAGTTTGAAGTTTGCAAAAATCGTCGTGTTCGAATAGCCATTGCGACTGCTTCAGACATTGTAAGTATTAATACCTAACGAAATGCCTGAAATCATAATTCCTATCTTCTGTTACATCGATACTTGCATTAGCTGTATTTTTGCCACAAATATGCAAGAAAAATTATAGATGGTAAATACGTGAGTAACCATTCTTTCTTTTTTTTAAATTTAATAACCAGATTGCTATATCCATTCACAGTAACTATTGAATCTTCAAGATTTTTTATAGCTTCTTATTTTCTGGTACAATGAAGAATTTTCTTTTGGGAAATTAGTAACTCTTCCAGAAATATTCTTTTTTGCCTGAACATCTGAGATAAGGGATTATTATCATTTACATTGTTTACATGAAGACTAATATCATCATCTTTATTTTTATTATCACGAGGCTTGTGTCCCAAAATAGCTAAACAGCATAGAGCAATTGTTCGTGGATTTGATGGTATAGTAATTGTAGATTCCATCACTGGACCGAGTTGTACAGACTCAGTGGAAACTGGGTAAGCAATAACTGAGCTGCAAGAAATAAGAAAAAAAAAAGGTATACCTAGACATGGGCTGAGGAACGAGAACAGAATACACAGAGTATTATTCAGAATTCTCAACAGTTTAGCCTGCCAGACATCTGATGAAGGTCGGATTATACAACGGTCGAAACGTTTTGATAATAATAAAAAGCTGAAGACGTTAATAATGTATGGATGAATATTTCATCATCCATTAAAATATAAAGCGAGAAATTCTTTATAATTCTTTCCAACACGTTATTCCTATATATTGTTTGTTTGCATTTCCAAAGGCAAACAAAATCTTTATTTATGTAAAAAAATGAAATGGATGGCTTGTAGCAATCTGGTTAAGCATTTGAACGATAAAAAACGCTAACATGAATACCATGCTTTCAAAGATCAATGATGCAAGTTTATATCTCCCAGATGTTTATTTATTTTTATATTCAGTAGATGTTACTTATTTCACAATTATAAAATATCTATTCGGGATTTTTGGTTAAAATTAGTAATTATGTTATTCAGGTTGTTTGCGGAAAGAACGAATGGCGTGTTGATTTTTAAATTCAATTGGATGTATACGAACCCATCTTTCTTTTAACTCTTCTAGATAAGGTTTAATAGCAAGGAAGATTTACTTCTCTACTTTATGTTGGCAACTAGTATAGAGGAAGGACAACTCTAAATTCAAAACCGGTTGGGCGTGGGACTAGATACACTATTACTGAAAGCCCAGAGGCAACATAATTTAATGAATCTGCGGTTACATCCACCATTGATTAACAACGGAAACAACAGATATAATGCTTTATCTAAAATTTGGTTTATTATCAACATCTCTATGGTTAAATTAATGCCGAAAATTAACTATTTTTAACACAATTGTATGGCTTCAACTAAATATATTTTGAACGTAATTGTATGCCTTCAACGACAGATAAAAATTATTGTTGGTAATTGTAATATAAATAGGTGTTGTTGGTAGTTATAAATAGATATTGTTGCAAAATTTACTATAAATGAATATTGTTAGTATACTACTATGAATTGGTATTTTTGGTCATTCTGCTATAAATAGCTATTGCTGGTAGTTCTAGTATAAATAGATATTGTTGATAATTCTACTATAAATTAGTATTGTTTGTATATATTGCTATAAATTGGTACGGTTAGTAATTCTACCATAAATAGGTATTATTGGTAATTTTTATATAAAAATGTATTGCTTTTATTTGTACTATATATTCTATTTCTATACTTTAATAGTATTTGGGGGTTCACTATTTTTCCATAGTTGTGATCCTAACAATTGCTATCACCTCGGGTCACGGTGGACCTAGGAACAACAGCAATTAAGACGTGATTTTAAAAAGCTCCAATGTCCCGATCAGGCCTTACTACCAGATGTAGTTTATCGTCATACCCAAAACTGCATTATCTAAAGAAATTGCTAGATCATTAGAATATTTTATATAGTAAATATAGATAGTTAATTTCGATTGAATAAAGCAGGGTCGAATTTTATTATTTCCGGTATAAATCAAATCTAAATATCGCCTATTATAATCAACCATTTTTGTCTTGAAAATCAGTGACCAGAAAGAATATATTTCTCTTCAAAATCGAATACAGCAATACGAAAGTTTATCAGTAAGTTTTTTTTTTTTAATAGTTCTTCATCCGAGGCAATTTAAATATGATTTGAATACGCAGTGATAAAAACAGCCCTTGTAAAGTAAGAGATTTTTAAGTGTATAGCGATAACTTCACTAATGTCTCTATTTAGGAAACAGCACTTTTCCGATTTGAATCGAAGCGTTATTTCAAATCGAACAATGGGTATACAACTTGATGCCATAATAAAAATGGGCCAAAAAATTGTGCTAACTTGCAAGAAATGTAGAAATGTTGAAAGTACACGGTTAGGCAAACAGATCTAAGCAACAAACTGACACGAAAGTCTATTTGATTTATCAGATATTTTTGAAAATGAACGAATGCAACTAATAAGGTATTGGTTTTTTTTTTATCCCTCTTGGCTTTCCTAACAAAACACCGTCGCTAGATTGTGCGCCTTGAGTCTATAAATAGGGAATAATTTTCACACTTATTTTCCTTCCTCTTTTACAACTCTGGCTATAATATGTAGTTGCACGTGGGTAAAATGTTTCCCCCATTGGGACACGTCAGTGTCTTACTTTTCTCTCTTGACTTTTGGTACACTTTCACACATATGTTTATCACGTAGGCTGATACAAACAAACACAAACAGACATCCTCAAATTTAAATACTTTATAAAACTAGTCTTTAAATGTATTCTTCGTTTATTGTAAAACTTTTCTTAATAAATACATTGCAGTTTGTTCGATATTGTTTTGTTTTACTCGTATTATTACTAGGACTCACGTTCGAGTCCGCAATAATTGTTACAGGAACAATATACCAAATGACTAGTATTTTCTATATAAAAACAAGCATTCCCGCAACATGTTATACAAGTGTATACCGTAAATGTTTATATTCCAGTCATCAAAGTAACCGAAACATGACCAACTTACATGAACAATGGACGCTTTGGAAACAACGACCGAAATGAAACATGAAAAGCCCGTTTAACGTTGATGCAATAGAGTATGAATAAAATTCATTATCTTGATACAGTTTACTGTGGACAGGTATAAATATTAAAATCGTCTATATAAATTCCATTAGCGCATATATACATTTTAGAAGTGTTAATTAGATTTCTGAAGTTCAGTTATAAATTTTAGTAATGCACATATTTCTTTATTGTATGCGGTTTTTCGCTTTATAACGTGAGGCTATGGTTCTCCACAATTTCCTATCGCCCGCACCTCATAACAATGTTTGACGCTGGTCCCCACTGTGCTATATTTTCGTAAAAAAACTTTAGCTAATTACTGTTTCAGTTTTTCCCTACTACTGCCTTTTCAGTGTTAAATTCTCCAGGTTCTCTTTCCTCATTATATATCCCGGAAATTTCAACTGCGTCCTGGTGTTAAGTATAGGTCTCCTTTTAGTTTCCATTTTGCTCATATGTTCCGTCCATTGTATTCTTAGAATCTTTATAGAAATTGCCCGGTATCTATTTACATACAGAAGGATTGATATTACATTGCAAGTAAGAACTCTTTCTCTGAAAGATATTTTTTACTATTCCAACCTGTGTTCAGAATGCCGTGTCACATTTCCGTATTCTGCTACGCTGACGTTGATTTAGTTTAGCGGCATATCAACATCTGTATGGGTTATTTAATGCCGTAATCTAAATATTTTATACGTAATTTTATGCTTTCCACTACAGATAGTTTGTATATAATTTACTCTCAGGGTAAACATGTATTTTTAGGTGTATACTTTGCAAATCATAAAATGTATTGTTGATAATTTTATTTTAATGTATCGCTGGTAATTTTACTAAAAATGTATTGTCGGTCATTTTTTTTTTTTTTTTATAAAAAAATGTATAAATGATAATTTTACTATAAAAATATATTTCTATACATTTTTAGTGTTGAATTGATTGTCATTTTGCTATAAAAATGTATTTTTAATTGGGGGGGGTCACTATTTTCCCATAGTTGGAACCCTAACAGGTGATACCATTCTGGACCAGAGTGGACCAGGGACAAACGGCAATAAAGAGGTGGTTCCACTCTCCTTAAAACTTTCAGTCTGCAGATAAGAGGACTTGGCGTCGGATATAGTTTACCATCATACACAGGACAAGTAGTCTGTTATGATAATAGTTAGATTAATTTTCGTAGCTACTTGATTTTACGTCACCATTAACACATCTTACAGTTTTGATTGGCTCTCTGTCTTCTTATATAAACCGTGTCCCTTCCGGTCGTAGGCGGCTATGGCTCTCCCCTGTCATTCCTAGCTTTTAATAAATTTTATCTTTTTATTATTTCTCCTAAAATTTCTTCTGCCATCCATT